GCAATTGTGGATGCAGCAATGGTGAATGCCATCTTCGCCAGCGCTCCTTATGTGGCCGCCGCTCCCCGCCGGGTCCCGACATGTTCAGGGGCGCGTTTGTGGCCGTCTTCGCGGGCGCCGACGACGACGCGGACGGCGCCCCCCTGACCGAAGAGCAGAAGCAGGAAAGGGTTCTGATAGCCATGGGGGAGACTGCCATGGGCGCCTTCAGTGGAGCCCCTATAGGGCCACGATCCTCGTGAGCGGTGTGCCGAAATGGCCCGGGGCCGCCGTGCGAAACCTGCCAATGGCGCCTTCGGTGGAGCTCCCCATGGGGCCACGATCCTCGCGAGGGGCGTGCCGAAATGGCCCGAGGCCGCCGTGCGAACCCTACCACTGGGGCCTTCGATGGAGCTCCCTTCGGGGCCGCGATCCTTGCGAGGGGTGTGCCGAAATGGCCCGAGGCCGCCATGCGAACCCTGCCACTGGCGCCTTCGGTGGAGCTAGCTCCCTATGGGGCCGCGATCCTCACGGGGGGCGTGCCGAAATGGCCCGAGGCCGCCATGCGAACCCTGCCATTGGAGCCGTCGGTGGGGCTCCCTACAGGGCCACGGTCCTCGTGAGGGGTGTGTCGAAATGACCCGAGGCCGCCGTGCGAACCCTGCCACTGGCGCCTTCGGTGGAGCGCCTGTGGGGCCACGATCTTGCGAGGGGCGTGCCGAGATGGCCCGGGGCCGCCGTGCGAACCCTGCCACTGGAGCCTTCGGTGGAGCTCCCCATGGGGCCACGATCCTCGTGGGGGGTGTGCCGAAATGGCCCGAGGCCGCCGTGCGAACCCTGGGGCCTTCGATGGAGCCCCCATATGGGGCCACGATCCTTGTGAGGGGTGTGCCGAAATGGCCGGAGGCCGCCATGCGAACACTGCCACTGGCGCCTTCGATCCTCGTGAGGGGTGTGCCGAAATGGCCGGAGGCCGCCATGCGAAGACTGCCACTGGCGCCTTCGGTGGAGCTCCTATCGGGCCACGATCCTCGTGAGGGGTGTGCCGAAATGGCCCGAGGCCGCCATGCGAACCCTGCCATTGGCGCCTTCGTTGGAGCTCCCTATGGGGCCACGAAGCGCTGTACTTGGTGGGTGACACGCAGGGAGGGAAAAAGGAGGGAGGAGGCAGCGGAAGGAAGGAAGGAATGAACGCGGGGCGCTGTCTCTTCAAAACGAGGACCCAGCACCACAGGATGGTTGGGATTCAAAAACAAAGCTTAGGTCCAGTTTTGCTTCGCGTTCACTGAACTTGAACGGCCCGGAAACCAAAACCCCTCCTGACAGGAAGGGCTCCGGCTTTCGGGGCGCGCCCCAGATCTGGAGCGGGGAACCCTATCGTGCCTGAGGATGTGGCCAAACAGGCCTTCCCGTTCCTTCATTTTGCGTTCCCATGGTGGCATCGTGGCTGTAAAGTTGGCGCGAGGGTTCAGACCAGCCCTGGATTGGTAGGGCTGCCCCGAGGTGTTTCGCTCTCGGGTCCTCCACGTCGGAGTGCTGCTCTTCGAAGGGCATCCAGGGGGCCTTGGTCCCTCGGCCAAGGGGTTCCTGTTATTGATACATGTTTATTTCCCCATGTTCCGACTTGTTCCCGCCTGGCTACCATTCGACGATCCTCAGGACGCGTGGTAGCGCAATGTGTCTGTCCCGCGTGGCTCCACCGACCGTTCGTTGCTTATTATACCGCCTGCGTCGGACTGCAGGGCTTCCATGGACAAGTGCACGTAGGCGCGAAGACACGTTCTGAGGATCGTCTGAATGTACACCGCGAGGACCTCTTGCCCGACACGGAGTACGAGTTCCGCGTGCGCCTGGAGAATTGCGCCGGGCCCGGCCGGGAGGCGTCTGTATTGTGCCGCACCAACGGCTTCTGCTCCGAGCCCACCCAGCTCGGCAGCCTTCCAGCTGGCACCACGTTCGTGGACCTGCAGTGGAACCGGCCCAAGACCCTGGGGAACGAGGATCCATGGGCGGTCCAACGGTATATGGTTTTTCAGCCAAAGGTTTTTGTTTCCGCGATTTCGGCTTCTGGGTCCCGTCGTTGAGCCCCGGGCCCGTCAAAAATGTGTCAGGGACGAGCACACGCTTTCTTGTGGATAGTGTCTTGCTGCGTGGGCGGTCTGGCCGACCCCCAGCAAGCAGGCCCCTTTTCCGTGACGGCCCCCTCGCCTCGCTCCATCTTGGCATCGCTCGGATGTGTGCATTCTTCTCGGGGGGGGGGCCATCGAGGAACATCTTGGATCGTCGAGCAAAACAGCACGCGCGACAACGTACAACAGTGTACGAACGGGGAGTAGACGTCCGAGCGATGGCGAGCCGAGGCGTGAGCAGGGGACCGGAGGGGAGCCTCGAGGGCGAGGGGGCGTTGTGGAAGGGGCTCGTCACGGGTCGGGGTCGGTCAGGCCGCGCTCAGGCAACCCGCGACACCAACGAGGCCATTTCTCATTACGAGGCAACGCTCAAAGTCGAGGACGACGACGCGGACCATCATGACGACGAGGGCGGCCTTCCAGAGCGGGTGTGCCGCTGGGCACAGGGCTCCTGGCGGGAGGACAAGGCGGGGAAGGTCGTCGTCAGGCTCAGCGCCCTGAGACCAGACACCAAGTACATGCTGCGCAACCTCTGTGCGGTCAACTCCATGGGCAAAGGATCGCTCGCCAAGCCCCTGGGCTTCTGGACGATTCCGCAGTCCTCCCGCATGTCGAGCATCCGCGTCAAGCAGGGTGTCGTGCTGATCACGCTGGCGCAGCCCTTGCCGTCGTCGATCCAGAAGTGCTCCGTGTCCGCGTCTTCGACGAGCAGCCCGGAGACGGCGCAGACGCTCGAGGTCGAGCCGCCCTGGACGCCGGGGGAGCTCGCGCTGCCGTTCGACGCCATGCCCTTCGTTGAGTCGGGCTCCTCTCGAGGAGCGAACGATGGCGTGAGCACAGACTGGCTAAGGTCCGCACCGATCTCCCAGAGCGGCGCCGGGCCCTCCCAGGCGCGCGAAGCCAGCCAGGGGCGCCCCTCGCAGGCGCCGCCAAGGGGCTCGACGGGGAGCCCTGAGAGGCGGGGGGCAGTGCAAACGGGGGTCAGCCAGGGCGCCGGATCTCGTAGGACCCTGCACAGCCAGGGTTGCACTTCGGGGGTGGACAGAATTCCCACCCTGACATGTCGATTAGTGAATTGTCCGTTTTCGATTCTCGAGAGGGCGCCGCGGCCGTCATTTTCCAGCCTAGCGCCCGCCAGGTTTGGGCCCGAGGTCGTTTTCATTAAACCAGGTTTTACTTAAGGGGGTTCTGTCCATCCCCGAGCACTGACCCGGGGCTAGCGCGGGGGATCTTGTAGGATCCTGCAGGATCTTGCAAAGCTCGGCTGACCGGGGTTTGCACTGACCTTGGACAGCAGAGGCCTGACTCGAGCGCCGATGCAAGAACTCCGCGCGGACCTCCGACAGTGCTTGTGTTCATGTAAGCATTCGTTCCCCGATCTTCGCACTCCTTCCGGCTTCAGACCAGAAACGCTGGGGGGTGGTCCGAGTGGAGCCCACCGTTGGAGACCGAGGGCATCGCGCGCCAGCAGGGCGCGGACCGCGCGCAGACGCTGCTCGAGACCGCGATGGGCTCGCGCAAGATCGACCAGCTGGAGAGCGCGCTGGCCGAGGTTCGAGAGTGAAGCATCGACACAGACACAACTACACCTCGATTCCCCAGAAAATAAGGGAAGTGGAGGGGGAGACGAAAATCAATAGCATATAGAACATCTAGGACAATTCCTGGATTTGTGTATATTCGTTTGTGTGTCCCTGGGCCCCCTTAGAGGTCAGCGACATCGAGTTGCCGGAGGAGACCATCAGGGAGAACGCCCTGACGCTCCTGCAGACGTTGAAGGATCGGGGAGGCGTAATAGGCTCGTGGTCGCTGGAGCTCGGGTTTGCCGACGCTTGTGGACGGGCCCGTCCTGAGTTCCGAGAGTCCAGTTTTCGGAGGATGCATGCAGCGGGAGGTTGCCTCAAATTTCAGCTCGTGCCTCGCCATCTTCCCGACGGCCCCGTCAGGCCAGCCCGAGTCCCCCGAACCCGAGTCTTGCGTCTCCTCGAGAGGACACCAAGACCGACCTGGCTGTGGCCCTTGAGGAGAGAGACCCGATCTCCCTGCGGGCCGTGCTCGCCACGGCACGTGAGGTCTGGTGGCGACCACACAAGGGGGGGGCTCCAGAATCATCGTGAATGAAAGAAACCCCAACCCTGATAGCACAGTGAATACGGGGCTTCGCTTAGGTTCCCGTCTTTGCATGAGGGATACTCGTTCTGGGCGGCTTGGTTCGATACATCTGCAGAAGCGACTCCCTATCCCCAATATGTTCCTGGCCCTCCTCACGTAGGTCCTCTCCCAAAGGGTTCGTGGTCCTTGCACTGCCAATCACGGAAGGGCCGGGCGGCCTCCTAGGATTTTTGTTCCTGGCACCTTTTTGGGCCCTCGTGTACAGTCGGACCGAGGTGTGAGATCGAGGACGGTTCGGGGAGGGTGCCCTAACGACCTTCGTGCTTGTTGGGGGGCGTTCTGGTGCATGCTGGGCGGGGGTCCCCCCTCCGAGTGCTCTGCGGCTCGGCCGGCGGAGGGCCCCGTGCTCCTCTCGAGGGAGGCTCTGCCGTCCCGGGCCCCTCTGTCACCGAGGGGGGGCCGCTGCCTTCCCGAGGAGGCCCCATCCCCCGTGCGGCCTCGGAGGGCCGCCCCCCTCGCGCTGCCCCCCCCCCCCCTGGTTCGAGTGCTGCCGGGAGTGCCCCTGGCCCAGAGTGCCTCCAGGATTTCGAAGGAGGCCCGCGTGGCCTCTTCCTCCTCCTCCTCCTAAGCGTCCTCCTCCTGCTCCTCCACGTCCTCCTCCTAAACGTCCTCCTCCTTCTCCACGTCCTCCTCCTCCTCCTCCATATTCTCCTCCTCCTCCTGGTCTTCTCCTCCTCTATTCCTCCTCCTTATAACTGATTTTTCCCTGCCGCACCCCGAGGCCAGTTTCTAGGGCAATCCGGGCGTTTCGCCTGAGACTTCCTCACCATTTATGACACTGAAGCTCAATCATTGACAGCAGGTTCACAAGTGGAGGGCGCTTGGTATTCAAAATGTGGCTCTCGCCTTGGCGCCGCGCACATTGATTTTAATCAGTTGCAAGGGTTTCACGGATTGAGGGCGGGCCGTATTCAACATGTGGCTCTCGCCGTAGCGCCGCGCACATGTGCTCTTAAAATGTGCAAGAGTTTCACAGGTTGAGGGCGGATCGTTTTTAAAATGTTGTTCTCGCCTTAGCGCCGCGCACATTAGGTTTAAACATTTGCAGGAGTTTCACGGTTTGAGGGCGGTTCCTTCAAAATGCGGTTTTCGCCTTAGCGCCGTTCACATTCGTTCTATACGGTTGCAAGAGTTCCACGGATTCCATGATCAGCGTACCTGAACTTGCTGTGTTTGGAAGAATTCTGGATCATGAGGGCGCAACAGTTACGTTGATTCGCGGCGTTGAAGTTCCAAGAATGGCGTTCTGGTGCGATTCATTATCGTCAAGACGCAACAGTCAGGTTGATTCGTGGCGTTGGAATCCGAGAACGATGATTTGGCATGCATCAGGGTCTTCAAACGGTTGTCTTCCAACGAAGCAGTTCCTTCAGTGGGCATGCACCGTTGTAGGGGCCTATGAAGCTTCGAGGGAGGGTTTATTCCAACATCGTTGATGGCTCTTGGGTTTTCGCTGATCGTCCTCCTCCTCCTCCTCTTCTCCACGTCCTCCTTCTCCTCCGCGCAGAGGCCGAGAGCCTAGGGGCACGGGTGCTTGCATGGAGAAAGCGGGCAGGCCTCTCGGGCTGTGTTTTGACGATGAAGAGGATGGGCCGTTTTTTGATATTGATTTTGTTTCACTTAATTTGCAGACTGCAGGTGGCGATGCTCCTCCTCCTCCTCCTGCTCCTCCTCCTCCCTCTCCTCCTCCTCCTCCTCCTCCTCTTCCTCCTCCTCCTCCCTTCTTCCTCCTCATCCTCCTACTCCTCCTCCTCCTCTGCGAACCCCTCGCGAGGTTCAGAGGGCCTCAGAGCCTCCAAGGTTGAGCGAAAAGCTTGGGGTACCTTGGGCCAGCGGCACCTTTAGCGACCCCCGACCTGTTGACGCCGCCAATAGGTGAAGCTGCCAGAGCTCGGCAGAGCTCAGATGCTGCTGCGCAAGCTCGACTCGGCGATGCACCGGGTCAACAACGCCCGCGGCATAGACGCGTTGCGGGGCGCGCTGAAGGCTGGCAGGGGTCGATCGCAACGTTGCTTTAGGAATCTCGTGGCCCGTTTTCGTTTTCTCTCTGGTTTCGTTTTGTCCTTAAAAAAATCGTGGGCCTACCCACTGGCCGATCGCGGCTCCGGACCTGCGCCACAGCGTTGTCTTGGGCAACGAGTCGGACCGTTGGAGGGGGAGGAGGAGGAGGAGGAGGTCGACGTTCTCCCTCGAAAACAACACGAGAGCGCAAAGCACAGGGCCTTGTCAGCCCCACGGGGAGGCCGCCCACGACGTGCGGCTGCCGGGGCGGCTGCTGCAGGGCGCAGTGGAGCGGCTCGGCACGCGAGAGGCTTGTCAGTACGGGCTGGAGGATCTGCATCGCCCAACCTGTCCCCTCCTCGGTGTCGGCGCCTATAACTCAGACGAGGAAAACGTACCCATACCTCTATCCTCCCCTCGTTTTCTTCTCTTTGGGCCTCCTGGGCCTCCGTCGTCGGCACCGCTGGATTCGCCTCGAAATCCTGGTCAGAACGCACCGCACCCCAGGAGAGGTCCGGGGAGTAGCGGTATCGGTACCTTCCGGTTTCCCCCACAACGGTGTGGTGACAACGCTGTGTGGTGAGTCAGTGGGTTGGGCAAACTCCAACCTGTCCCCATCCCTGCTGGGCCATGGCATCTCGGCGCCACTGGCACGCCCTCCGGTCATCAGGGGCAACATTAGGATGGGGATATGATATGCTCAGAGAGAACTGCATCGCCCCCTAATCCCCCATTGGTTTCTGACAGTGGCCTGATGGCCCACCCCGCCTAGGAGCTTTCGGAATTCCTGTGGGCGGCCTATAGCCGATCCATCGGTTCACGTTATCGACCTCAAGGCACAGAGCGGGAAGTGAGGACGCATCGAAATCAGTTTTGTTTGTGTGTATATATACATGTGTGTAAATACTCAACGAGTCTGAACCCTCACCTGCCAACAAGGTAGAACGAGGCGCCCCCGTCAAGTGAAGTAGGACGTCCTTGAAGTCCACGTCACGTACGGAGAAAGACAAACGCCCACGGCGATTTGTCAAACAGCTGACAGCACACGCGCGCGTCCACGCGTCGTGACCAAATGCGGCGCGTCCATCGGGCGGAGTGCGATCGGTCATGTGACGTTTGAAGAGGCCGCTCTTGGGAGGGGGTTGGTTCAAAGCCCCCCAGCAAACCTGGGGTGGGGTCTGGAACCGATCCCCCCGCCCCGTTCAGCCCGGGAACATTGTTTTTTCGGGGGGGTCCAGAAAAACCACCCGGCCCAGGAAAATGATGTGTATGGATCGGACTCGGCCCAGTGTCCCATCGCACACATTCGGTGGCCCCAGTGAAGCGCGGCGGACAAATGGGTGTGCAGTCGCTACGCCGCCGCATGGCTTGCGCGCGTCGAGGCGCGCTGCTGGCGATGGGCACAGGTCCGCGCGCGCCCCGCGCGCGGCAGTTGCCCGCCGCGACGGCGCGCCGGCACGTTTGTGTACCCAAGACCTGGGGCGCGCACCCCGCGCTCGAGATTTGAGCGCGGGGCGCGCGCGGCCGCGCGCGTTGGTCGTCGCCCCGCGCGCCGTTGCCCGATCGCTGCTGCTCCTCTGCCCTTCGGCGTCGTCTGCCGCCGCCTGCCTGCTCGTCGCGCGCCGCGTCGCCTCGCGGCGCTGCCTGCCGCTGCTTGCCTGCCGGTTGCGCGTTGCTCCGCCCTGCGCTGCCGCCTGCCGCTGCCTGCCTGCTCCCGCGCGCTCTCGCGCCGGCCTTCTCCCGGCCGCCCTTCTCCTCTCTGTGTAGGTTCCTTCGCCCTCCGTTCGCGCGCGGCGCCTCTGTCGTTGGCGGGTTCCTTCCTCCCTCTCCCCCCCCCGGGCAGGTGCCTATTTTCTCTTGTCGTTTTGCCAGGTTCGAAAATGCCAGGTGGTCCGACTGCTTCGCGGCTAGTATTTACGGGGCCAGGCGAGGTCCAGTCTGACTTCCTCGCGCGCCGCGCCCGCGCGTGGAACGCGAGCTATTGACCGAACGTGGTCCAGTAAGACGCACTTCGACGTCTACCCGCATCCGCACGATCGCGAGCTAGCGGCCGAATGAGGTCCGATTAGACGCACTTCGACGTCTACGCCGCCTCCGAACGAGGATCGCGAGCGAATGGCCGAGCGCGGTCCAATAAGACGCACTTCGGCGTCTACGCCGCATCCGAACGAGGATCGTGGGTAAGTGGCCGAACGATGTACAGTAAGACGCACTTCGACGTCTACGCCGCATCCGGCCGAGGATCGCGAGCGACTGACCGAACGAGGTCCAATAAGACGCACTTCGACGTCTACGCCGCATTCGTCGTGCATCGCGAATGATCGAGCGAACGCGGTCCAATATGACGCACTTCGACGTCTACTCCGCATCCGATCGAGGATCGCGTGCGATTGGCCGAATTAGGTCCAACCTCACGCACTTCGTCTACGCCGCATCCGAACGAGGATCGAAAGCGATCGACCGAACGAGTTCCAGCATGACGCACTTCGACGCCCACGCCGCACCCGAACGAGGTTCGAGAGCGACTGACCGCGCGAGGTCCAGTAGGACGCTCTCCGTCGTCTACGCCGCATCCGCACGAGCTTAGCGAGCGAGCTTTGACCGAACCTGGTCCAATAAGTCGCACTCTGTCGTCCTGCGCCGCATCCGGCGAGGTTTTCGCGTGCGCCGCGCGCGCAGTCAAACGCGGGCCGTCTCGAGCGAACGATCAACCGTGGTCCGCGCATGCAAATGCGCCGTTTCCGTGCGAGGGTCGCAGCCAAACTACCGCAGATAGAGTGTCTCGCCTTCTTCGATGCAGTCGGGCACGGATTCAGTACGCATGTGCGCGCGTTGCGCGTCACCAGCGGC